ATATATATATATATATATATATATATATATATATATATATATATATATATATATATATATATATATATATCTATGTGTGTGAATAGATAGTAAGGGTGTATGTTCAACCCAATAACTCGAATCAACCCAACCCGAATTGTAGGGGTTGGGTTGGGTTGGGTTAGTATTTCGGGACCATGTACACCCCTAATAGATAGATAGACAGATGGGCAAGATGATCTAGAGAAGCAGCTAACCAGAGGATGGGGCACTTCCTGCGGGCTTAAAAAACATGTCCTCGAGCATCAGGGCCAAAGTCCCATAACAAGAATGGGCATTCAAATCCACTTTCCTGCCTATTAGAACTCCGTCCATATACACCTTCACAAAGCCTAGAGGCCCCTTTTCAGTATCAGTGGCACTCATATTTTTGCCATCATGGATCTTCACTGCAACACCATTGGACCTAAGCAGCTCCTTTTCATCTCCAGATTTTCGATTTTTAGCTTGGTTAACCAGGCTGTTGATTCTGTAAGCTCTTAATGGCGGCCATCCCACCACCTGACTGCTTCCGGTTCATCCAAAAACAAGAACAAATAGAAAAACAGGCAATGGATCAGAATATTACTAACAAGAACAATAGAATAGATCATGATGATCAACTAGAAAGACAGGCTTTGATGAACATTAGAAGAAAAAAGGTATCCAATTCATGTTATAGAAGATCCTATTAAAAGCCAACAGTTCATCGATTTCTATTGCTACTTCAACAGGATTGCACACACCACACACTTCTAACAGTGCAACGACGAGACAATCTCTTTTCCACTGTTAACTATTAGGATTGAAAATTAAAAAGAACTAACAAACAGTTCAGGATTTCAGTTCGATGAATTTGGAATCGAAGATTCTAATTATTCCTTATTTCAATAAAGAGAAAAGTTCATCACTCCTGTTTGATCAACAACCAAAACATTAAAATAATCAATGATAAACAGAGCATTCCCCCAACCTGACAGCCGGAGGCGGAGAATCGCCATGGTGAGCAACAGGTTCCGCCGCCCTCTTAACACCAGAAACAGCAGCAGCTCTGCCTGAGAATCTAGCAGAAGAAGAAGAAGACGATCCACCAGGAGAGATCGCCGAGGGAAAATCTTTCGCCGTCAATATCCTGCCACGCTCACCCCAACCACTATGTTTACCCTTTCCAGTAGAAATCCCACTTCCGAGGCTGAGCCCTAACCCTAATTCGAGCTCAGCCTCGACAGGGGAAGAAAACTCCTCCGATGACAAATCCGGTTGGTGCTTATCCACCTCCTTCGCCTTGGAAACGGAATTCTCATCGTTGGAGGCACCGGAAGAGCCAATGGCGCTGCTACTCAGTAAACCAAGGGGTGGTTCCATGGAGAGAGAATCAAGATAGAGAAAAACAGGGGGAATAGAGAAATAAATGGATGGGTTGTTTGAGGAGGAAGACGGAATGAGTGTGAAGAAGAGGAGGAGGTGGGGGTGATGATGATGGGACCCAGATGTCTGGTAGTGCGGCTACCAGTGATGGCAGTTACCCACCATGGCTCTCCATTGTTGTCGACAAGAATTTCCCTTTTGAGCTGAATCTCAACACGATTCATGTCTCCTTCACGGATCTCTCTCTCTCTCTCCCCTTCTTTCTCTCTGTCTCTCTCTGTTTCTCTCTGTAGTCTGTAGCTGTACCTGCCATTGGAATTCTCCATGTTTTATCTTTTTTTAAAACAATATTATATTATATTTCAAACTCGAGGAGAATTTCAAAACCCCACTAAATAGACTATATTTTTTTTAGTTTTTCAAAATTAAATTTATTAAATAAATATTTAACATATGTAATTTAATACAACCATTATATATATATACTAGATCCCATAATTTTTAAAATATAAAATTTAGAGACTAAATTTATAATTTTAATTTTTCACATCGTGGTAGTTCATTAAAGACGGTAGATTTGCCCGCCCACCCACCTCCGATGTTCTCATAATCCAACGCATTGGAACAAGACTAAGTCTCGAAATTAATGAACTAACTAAAGAATGAAGTAAAGTTCATTAAAGATGATGGGCTTGCCCACTCGCCTTTGATGTTGTCCTAACTGGAACGACCGACGGAGACTGGAAAACTTGTGAACTATATAGTTTGTAATTTAACCTTACCACTTTTGTTTTGACATTAAGGAAAAAAAAATCCAACAGGGTTCTTCGTTTTGAGGCAAACGCGAAGAATTAGAGCTTACACTGCCCGAGATGTTGACGTTTAGATTCTCGATAAATTTGAAAACATTTAACATATATATATTAATGAATCTAGTAGAAAGGGAATTTGGGTAGATACAGATAGATTCTACCCTAAATCTTGCTAAAACCCTAAAAGACAAAAGGGAAAAGAAATAGTAGAATAAGGATTGAGAGTGAAATGGGTGTGTTTAGGGTTAGGGTTAGGGTTAGGGTTAGGGTTAGGGTTAGGGTTTAGGGTTTTAATATTGTGAAGGTTGTGGCTTTAAGAGACCAACCCATTTATACTATTCTCAATAAATACTCCCTTCTCTTTCTCCCTTTTTCCATGGTCTTCCACTTTCAAGACAATTCCCATACACTTGAGAGACCTCTAAGATATGCTTGCTTAGTGGGATTGTGGACCTTCAACACTATAACTATATATAATGTTTTTTTTTATTACTTCTATTATAAAAATAATAATATTACTAATTAATTGGGATTATAGTATGATATTGTGCTTTTGAGTATAAGTTCTACCAATGAAGATAGTATTTTTTTTTATTATAAACTCATGATCATTTCTTAAATTGGTCGATGTGAGATTTTTCATCCAACAAATTCAACTCGACCCTTATTATATTTTTTAAATTGTTATGGATATTTAAAAAGATTGAAGATAGGGTTGTTTTAAATAATTGAAGGAAAAAAGTGAATAACCGGATGTGGACCTTATTTGGGCCCATTGGGCTTGAGTTGAACCTTTCAGATCTTGATTGGGCTTTTTAAGATAGCTCTCATTGGGCCCAAAACCGAGACCCGACATATCGGCCTTGGAATAAAAACAAAACAAATGCGACTTTATTTGAAATTTCAATTTCATTTTCTGAGAGCTTCGATTACGTAACTTCTTTGTCTATTTTATTTTATTATTTTTCGAAGGAGCTGGATTTATTTTTTTATTTATTTTTAGTTTTGGTCGAGTTAAACTCGTAGAAAACTAAAAAAATTTAGTTCAATTTACGAACTCGAAATTTTGTATATCTCGAAGGTACTTTAGAATTATTATGAAAATTAAAATTATTTGACGTTTATCACAAATGTTAATGATTAGATATTTAAATTTCATGAAATTTTAGTTATTAATGGGACTTGATCTGTGAATAAAGAGGTCCAAGATGAGTTAACCCGTGTACATTTGTAGATAGCTTAGGTTTCCCTTTTGATCCATAAAGTGTTTGAAACATGTAGTCACATGCATCTTGCTATTTCTTACCAATTTCCTTGCCAATATGATGCAAAGCCTAACTTGCTAGAAAAATACGTTAAATCTCCTTCAAAGTGGGGTATTACTTCAATCTAAACAAAAGATTATTTTAATTCCTCAATCGAGGAACTCCATAAATTCCCAAGCTCCTTGGGATTCGAGCTGTGTGTGGTGCGGCAGCAACGCGGAAACGAAGAACAATCTCTTCGATGTTGCACTCCACGGCTTCGTTTTCCATCTACACTGATGATGAAAATCAGGAACAAGTCATGGGATTAGAAGAATTTGAGAAGGGTATCACGATTGAAGTGAACAAAGAAGCTCTGGGTAGTGGTAATGATTTCTGTTTTTCGAAAGGGGCTATGGGGTTGATTCAAGAGGAAGAAATGGAAGATGGTGATGGCATGAACTCGATTGGGGATTTTGACGGCGGCGAGTTTGACCTCACACCGGCCAGTCCTCCGATGTATCTAGCGGCAGGACTTGGATTGGATGCTTCTGGTCTCGGCGGTGCGTATGATTCTGTGGATTTTTTTGACGAGAAGATGGTGGATGAACCGCCTGCAATCCATCCCTCGCTGCTTCTGAGGAAATATGTGCAGTCCTTATGGGTACGTTCTTCTACTCGCCTCTGAAGTTTTAATTCATCTGTGTTTCATTGTGATGTACTGCTCAATCTTCATGAATTGGATGTTTTCACCTATCAATTATGCGTTTCATGCATCGAATTTCCGGCCGTTCTGCAAAAAACATGTTCCTGGGGTTTTTTTAACTCCTCGTTCTTTCAGAATCTCTCTTCAGCTGATTTTATCAATTCTTAAGTTATGAAGTGAAGCAGTGAGGCTGGATCTGTTCTGTGTAATAGCCAAAGCCCGTGCCTACTATGGAGAGAGTCTAGCCCTACTTTGACCAGAGCACTGTTCGATGATGGGCTCTGCACAGATCGAGAAATGGTGTCAAAGCTAGACAACGAGTGCGAGGACGCTGGACCTCCAAGGAGGGTGGATTGTGAGATCCCACGTTCGTTGGAGAGGGGAACAAAGCACCTTTATAAGGGTGTGGAAACCTTTCCCTACTAGACGTGTTTTAAAAACCGTGAGCCTGATGACGATAGGTAACGAGTTAAAGCAGACTGTTAGAAGTGGACTTGGGCTGTTGCATGTTTTGTCGGTCATCTACTGAGACTTAATCTTAAAACTCTTAGTTAACACCATGTGTTTGTTATAATGTGATAAAGTCGGAGGGAAAACTTGATGAAGCTGAGGAACAGTGCTATCAAGCTACAGTAACATACCCTGAAGATGCTGAAATTCTGATGCTGTATGCTCAGTTGGTTTGGGAAGTTCATCATGATCAAGCTAAAGCCTCAAGTTACTTTGAACGTGCAGCTCTTGTTGCTCCAGATAACAGGTTGAATTCATTGGCAGCACAGTGAAATAGTTACCTCAATAACTAAATATCTGCTGATGTTCTTCATTAGATAATCTAAATGAAGTCTGCACTTCTAATATGGATGAACTGAATGTTTCCATTGCAGCGATATTCTTGCAGCACGAGCTAAATTCCTGTGGGAACTGGACGACGAGGATGAAACTATGGTGCTGCCCCTTGCATAGTCTCAATAGTAGTTTCAGAGCTAAGATGTATAACTGGCCTCATGTCGTGATTATCGCAGATACCAGGGGAAGAAGACGGGAACCCAGTTGGTAGTTCACCGCCCAAAGAAAGAACTGAACCAGTAGCTGACAATGGTGGGAGTGATCTGCAGGAGTCTTATGAGAAGATGCTGAAGGAGAACCCCACTGATCCATTGCTTCTGAAGAACTATGCTCGGTTCTTGCAACAGGTGAGACTATTTGGTTACCTCTGTGGCAGTTTGAGCACTAGTCGTTTGATTGATAGACTCGTTTATCGTAGAGACTAGCATTGTTTAGAGATATTGATCCGTGTTTGTTGATGCCTACAGTCCAAAGCTGATCTCCAAGGAGCAAAGGAATACTACCACCGTGCGATCCAAGCCGACCCAAGCGACGGGGAAGTGTTAGCACAATATGCAAAATTGGTGTGGGAGCTTCATCACGACTACGATAAAGCGTCACATAACTTCGAGAGAGCAGTAGAAGCCTCTCCTACAAACAGGTACCATCAAACTGCAGATAATTCTTAGCTTTGGGTGTCTTTTGCTTGCATTAACAGTTCATTACGTTTCATTTTCAGCTATGTTCTTGGAGCATATGCAAGCTTCCTTTGGGAGACGGATGAATACCAAGAGGAAGATAGCCAAAATGGCTCTCAGTGGCCTTCAAACACAGCGACAGTTTCTGTGGGAAATGCTTGAATTTTAAGAACATGACATACTCAATGATATAATGTATCAAGTGATGCACTTGAAGCGAAATAATATTGTTCTTGTTTGAATATCTCAGCAGTCTTTGTTGGTGAATGAGGCAAATTTTGATTATATCTCTAAAATAATGAATATTAATTAAGCAGACCACAGGCGAAAAACAGAGAGTTTCATGAAATGTTGTTGAATCAAGAAACTCAATGAAAAAAATAATGAAATCCATATTCCCACAGACAAATAGCCTTAAACTGACTCAAATTATTCTTCAAAGTAAGGTGAGTGTGCCTCTGCTGAGATGATGATGATGATAATGCTAGAGAACCAAAACTTTTGCTTTGCTAAACGAGCTATGACGACTCCGATGGACTTTCTCCGTTTCTTGATACTTGATGGGTTAGGTTCTCTTTCTGCTGTCGAGTAGTCGGTCGATAAAAGCCATTGCCCCTCGGTCTGATGTACTCGCGCTCGCTTCCATCTCGAACTCCCATACTGTAACTCCGAGAGCTATAATGCCCTTTAGAAGACTCGGTGTGGTAGCTCCCTCTTCCTCTACCCCTTCCTGATCACAGTTCAACATTTGGGTGGAATTCAGAACTAAAACTCGAAAAAGTCATGTCGTTCTTGCTTAAATCAAGAATCTATGCTACCACCAGATAGACAAAAGGCCAGCATTGCTAATCAAATTAGTTTCAAATGATTTCAGCAAAGCCGTTCATATGGTTTATCATATCAGAATATCAGTGGATGCATGTAATTTGAGAATTGGAAGATATGTCTATCAACATCAAAATTCTGAAGAACACAATGTGCAAGGATGCTTACTTCCTCCTCGGTATGGGATGCTGCTGTTCGCTCTCCGCTCCTCGATGTATACTTGACGCCCAGCAACCTGGGCAGTACCCGCCTGGAAAGGGAAAAAACGAACTATTAATCAGAATCACAAACAGAATCCATTCGTCTTTCGATGGGATTATAAATTTGGTCAACATAGCACCTTGATTGCATTTTGGACCCCAGTCATGTCTTCAAATTCGACGAAGGCGTAGCAGTAACCAATGTCCTGAAAGTCGAAAGATAGTTAAACAATCACATAATTTAAGACAGGCATCAAGAAATATACTGAAATGATAAGAACATTGCAGACCTTGCGACTCCTAATAACCACACCATCAGAACTGAGTTTGCCAAAATGCTTGAATTCCTCCTCAACTTCTGAAGCAGACACAGTAGATGGCAAGTTTCTTACATAAACAGACTTTATTTCACCTTCATGCATCGAACATTAACGAAGGTTATACGTCGCATATAAATAGCTAAAGATACAAATAATGATCGGCTCAACATGGCTAACCTTCATCATCAGTAGAAGGGAACTCCCCTCCTCCTGTCTGTTCCCTTTCAGAATTATTTTGGGGAGCTGAAGTCAGTTGCTGACTGGTGGGAGCTGGAGTGTAGTTTTGCTCCGAAGCAGGTTGTGTGCCCTTACCAACAGGATACGGAGGTGCAACGGTGGGAGCGGGGGCGTCTTGTCCTTTAGAAACTCTTAGCTAAGAAATTAGAATAAAACAGTCAGTTCCGTTATGTTCGTATTGATGAATACTGTATAAAATTACTTATGGTGAATTGATTATTAATGTCAAATCATACAATTGAAGCATATGTGTGCTTTTGGGGCTCCTCAGCATGTTCTTCAACAGAAACAGGCAAATGATCTTGCAAAACAGTTGAGGTGTTTTGATGCATAGAGTTTACTTCTGTTGTATTTTCCTCAATGACGTTTTTCGGCTCGGGAACTTGCTGCAGTTGCTGCTCTACAAACTTATGGCTATCCATGTGACCATTTTCTTTGACAACAGGGGCTGTAAACTCTCGCACCTGGACTGGTCCATTGAGTGAGTAATTGGGCACTACAAGAGATAACTTCATTCAGCAAAGTATTGCAGGGCAGAGTAGAGTGATCGACACGGAACTTCCAAAATAATAAAAATATAAAACATCAGAATTACAAATCGAAACGGCCCAAGCCCACTGATAGCAAATATTGTTCTCTTAAAGCTAAACACGTCTGCTAGGGAGAGATTTCCACACTCTTATAAAGAATGTTTCGTTCTCCTCCCCAATCGATGCGGGATCTCACACAAATAAGAGTCGTGATAAAATCAACTCCACGGGAAACTCCAAGCCAGAACCAAAATCAAAAGGTAATCCAAAATATCAAATTTTATAAAAATAAGACACTTCAACAGTATTAACAACAGCAATGATTGTGTTCTATAATTCAACACATCAAACCTGTCTCTGGAACTGCGGCAGGAACATTTAAGGTGGGATCCAGATTGGTCTGACTTAATAAGACTGCTGGATAATGGTGCACTGGCTCCTCATCAACAAAGTGAAAGATATCATTCAAAACAAAATAGCCTTTCTCCTGAGGTGCAAGAAAAAAAGTTTGCACAAATTTTCTCACTCGATTGAAATTCTTCATTTGAACAGAACCAGAAACCATCACAAGAACACCACCATTCCATGATTCAAGTGAATGTGCTGTCTTGATCTCAATCCCGGTATAACTAAGTGACATAACAAGAGCGTGTATTTGCTGCAGTTCAAACAGCAAAGATGAACTAAATGAATCATAAGAAGATAGCAAGAACAAGAAGAAATGTGCCATAAAATCTACCCAATGAAGCATTGTCAAACACAATTCAACAGAATATCGATGAAAAAACAACAGCCATAAGCCACCACAATTCAACAGTAACATTCGTAAAAGATTGTAGCATGAAAAAGGAGAAGAACAAAGAGAAAAATACGAGCATTGCAGTGGCGGTCTCTCTGAAATTGCCATCAATACGAAGCATAGTACTGGCATCAGAATAGAACTGATGAACAAAGTCGGGTTGCTGCTGAAGAACCTGATAGTACTGCCCAACAAAGTAGGTTCCCACCTAAATCAACAAAATCCCACATCAAATTCCTGCAAGGAAACAAGACCCAAATGCCCAAACAAGAAGAAAACGAAGAAAAACCTGAGCAGCAGTGACCGGAATGTGAAAGGGCGTCCCCATTATCGAAACCCTTAAACCCTAAAGATCGAGAACAAAGAAGAACAGGTCCCACAATCAAAATCTTAGATCTACAATGCTCCAACGAAAAATTAAACCAAAACCCATTTCAGATTCATTCTCATCTATGAACCCAATAGCCTATACTAAGATTTAGAGAGAGAGAGAGAGAGAGCCGTAAGATACTCAGGGAGGTTGTAGAGAGAGAAAGAGCAAAAGGGTTTAAGAGATAAAGCGGGAGAGAGAGAGAGAGAGAGAAAGAAGTAGGGATAAATTTACGAAGGGAATAATCTTCTTCTCCGCCACTGATTTTTGGGTTTTTTTCTGATTTGGGTTTGAAGGTGTTTGCCTTTTCCTGCCAGCCGCTGATGAAATTGGATCCATATTTCTTTCCATTCTGTCTGCATTTATTTTCTAATCAATTACGTAATTAAATCAAATGGCAAACACTTTTCCAAAATAATAATAATAATAATAATAAAAACCATTAATTATTATTATTATTATTTATTTTGCCAAAATGTCTATTTCTTTGACTTTTTCTCTCTCTTTCCAAAGTCAACATATGACGTCATTTTAATCAAACTTTTTTTAGTAAATGAAATAACATATACAAAAAATAATATTATATTATATTATATTATATCTGATAAAACCTTAATGTTTTAATTATATATCTAATAAATAGATTAAAAAAAAAATTAAATGTCAATTATTATAAAAATAAAAAAATTAACATGAGCCAACACACTTTAATTGCAGCAGCCGCCATTTCGGTGGGTTTAAGCAGCGTCGCTCAGCCTCAAAAGCATATAAATGCATAATAATTTTGCCCATAAAGAGAACGGCACGTTGCTAACCTTGTCTGCCGACACAATTTGCACCGCGCTTTTGTGCCTATATGCCGATTCTCGAGCCTTGGGAGACATGGGGCAGTGCAATCTAGTGCTTATGTTACTAATTCTTACGCTCATCAGGGCCTTCTTCTGCCCTGCAAAACGGACTTTTTATTTTCTGACTTTTGAGGTGAGAAGTCCCTTTAAGATTGGGTTTGTTTGGTGGGGTGCACACCAAGTGTTTGTAGAAAGTCCCCAAAGATTTGTTCTTCAATTTGGAGTGTCTGGGCTAGTTTTTTTGCTTTGTGATCGGTTTCAAATATAGGGCATCAGATTGCTAGTTGTATAAACAACAGACTCGTCTCAAGACTCCATCGAATATCCTCTTGATTACGTTCATTACAGCTGAATGTTTTGTGCTAAGAAATTCTCTGAGTAGTCTAGGCATTCCCTCGTCTACACCATTCAAATACCTCGAATGAGAAACTACACTAACATTTTTCTTGATGTAAGTATCATCCGACCCCCCCAACAGGATGACAGCACAAAAATTTGTTCCTAAAACACGAAGGTGACATTGTTATTTACTTTCATCCTTGATTATGTAGCACATGAATATCTAGTAATGCTTGAAGTAATCTCCACAATATACATTGCGATCATATTGATCATGAAAATATTGTGAAATCTTCCTACATGATCAACATTCATGAATGGATCAATCGACCAAGTTGTTGCAATTCAATCATATGACTAATCTCTTGTAAGGTATAGGACTGAGTTATGACTATACGAACAAAATGAACAAACGAGAAAGAAATTTCGGTCACTCGAGCTGCAAGAGAAAGGTAGAAATTCTTTCCTCTTTCCTTTCCAGTCATGATACAACCATTTATGAATTTCAGTGTTGTGACCATTTGTTTGAATCAGGACCGATATGATATCTATCTACCACAAGAATGAAGAGATGGGGTACATACAAAAAGAAAGAAGAGACAAGATTCCGTCACTCCAGGTTTGTCCAGTCATTGTATGCTGACATGCAATAAATCAGTTCAATATTTGCCCTTGTGTTTGTGATCCTTCAGCCAAGCTTACACTTAATACCCTGCCTTCAAATACCTATGAAGTCCAAAGAACAAACAATTGAACCATATGATATTGTATGATATAA